AAGACTGACTTGGGGAAAAAAAAAAAAGATTGACTTGGGGTCCATCTTTTCTTAATGCTAAAAGGGGAAAAAAAAGAAGGTACTTTAAATGGCTAAGCAAAACAAAATCACAGTATTTGGTTTCAGACAAAGACCTCAAGAGATATATGTTTCATGTTATACTACCTTCTACTACAAACGTTGAGACACAATGGTTATAGAATCCTTTTCCACTAAAAGCTTACAAAGCCTGCAGAAATGCTTCCTCAAGAGATATAAGATATACACATTGATTTATAAGATGCTCTTTCATGGGTTAGATGGCAAGAAAAACTGTCCTCTGCAGGAAGTAAATAGACTCTTACTTTTAAGGATAAATGAGGACTCTAAATGCTACACTTAAAATTCCAGATCAAATTGGCAATTAGTACAGTCAGAACCAAGGATGTGGACTAAGTTTAAAAGGAGTTATTCTTAAATCTTTTCACATTTTCCAAATAAAAATCTGTTCAAAGTCATACCATCAATTTTATTGATATCTCATTAAAATGAGTAACAAATTCTATGAAGACTTTATGAAATAAAGATTGATTTGGGGGACGAAGAAGGTGGAGTTACACTCAGTGGGAACCACTGTTCCCATCACATGCTGAGCTCTCAAACCTGTCATCCATGCTGCGTTCTCTTTGGGGGTAAAAACTTCTGGTCTACCCTATAATAGAAGTCTCTCTCAGTCCCATCCTGGACTGTGCTTGTGCCAAACCTCTAAAACAAAGCAGTGCAAAGTCCTCTCAGATTGCTGAGAAGAAATCTTGAAAAATGGTTCTCAATGCCCACATCAAGTGAGGAATATCAGGATCAAAGAGCAGCCTGTCACGAGAAGACGCCATACCAGCTTGATGCTGTGACCCACCCTCCAAAAAGGTCAAGGAGAGTTTTACATCATTTCCCAGCAGTTCATCAAACCTGCTGGGTCCAAACAGGGGTGGACCGAACCTTGCATGGGAACTCAGCCTCAACAGGGGTTTGGGTTCCTGCTTTTGATTGCCACAGGGCTGGCAGGCTTCCCCCTGGCTCCCATTCTCAGGAAGCCGTCCACAGCTGCTGGTCACTTGTCACACCCTATCCGGGAGGTGGCAGCATTTCAATGGTAAAACAACAGATCCCCAGGCTGTGGTGATGACTTCAAAGTTCAATAGATAGGAATTGTGTCATTATTTCCCACATAGTTAACCCCTTCCAGTTCCAGTGAAGCAGAAATGGGTAAAGGCTTATAATGGGCTACAGGGAAATAATGGGACTTCATACTTCCTATCCTAGATTGGGACAATTCCAGGGAAAATTTTGAGAGCAGGCACTCAACAAAAATTTATTGCATATACCAGGTACTGTGCAAAATCCTTAGAAATGTCCGAAAGCAGACAGAGATTCTGTTTAAATTCACGCCACTGACCTTTTCTTTCCAGAATGATGCTCACTGTAGCACTTACTTTTCCCCCAAATAAATCAGCACCTGTAGCCAAGAAAAACTGTTCCCAGTACCAAAGATTTGGAGACCAGTTGTCCAAGACTGGAGTCTGCCTGCAAAATTTCTGCCTGCCACCTGGACTGAATCTTAGGCTCAGCTGGTGAAGACTGAAATTGTTCTCAAGCCCTCTTCTGAGATCCAGACCTCTTTATCCAGCTGCTTTCTCGACATCTTTACTTAGATGTCTTAAAGGGACATCAAGTTCAACTTGTCCAGATGGTATCTATGATATCCTCCACCTAAAGCAGGTCCTCCTCCAGTGTCCCCTCATCTCAGCAAACAGCATCAGCCATTCAAATGTACAAGCCAGTGACTGAGGAATTACCCTCCAGCCTCCTTCCCCTTCACTCCCAGATAATCCACCACTCAGTCTCAGCCATCTTACTTGTTAAATTGTTGCAAGGACCCCTTTCTGTCTCTGCATCTTGATCTCCACTTAATTCAAGTTGCCATCATCTTTCAGCTGGATCTCTGCAGCAGACTCCTGAGTGGTCTTCCTGTATTCTCTTTCCTCTTCCATCCTTCCTCCAACCGGTAGCCTGAGTGTTCTTTTAAAGACCCAAATCTGACCATTTCACTATCACTGACACCCCAGTGGCTTCCCATTGTTCTTTAAATTCAGAGGCAGATATGATGCAGAATTCCTGAGGAGGCCAGGAGAGTAGACCAGGGACGCCCTGCTCACAGACAACCTGTTGAATTCTTGGTGTTAACAATATTTTCTGTAATGTCTAATAACCTTGCTCTGCATTTCTGTGAAAAGGACACTGGATCACTTTGATTTCTGGTAACCAAAAAACTACAACCCATACAGTACAGGAGCGGGTAATTAGCCTTTTGATTAGAAACTTTTCAAAGATCCTAAAGAAGTTGTAAGGAACATCTTCAATATGATGAGACCCTGAAAAGTGAATTAGCCCAGAGCTGAGGTTGGGCCAAGCCTGGCCTGCCACCTGTATTTATGAGTAAATATTTATTGGAACACAGTCACACTCATTCATTGTATACTGTCTATGCCATTTGCACTCCAACAGCAGAGCTGAGTAGTCACAACAGATTGTATGGCGTGCAAGTCTAAATACCTGGCCATTAATTAAAGAAAAGGTCTGCCAACTCTGCTTCAGAGGTTCTCCACTATGGTTGCACATTAAAATCACCTGGACTGCTTTTAAAAGGGATTGACCCAGAGATTCTGATTTATTTATTTGTGGCCACACCACGCAGCAGGTGGGATCTCAGTTACCAATCGAACTCGTGTCCCCTGCAGCAGTACAGTGGCCTAACCACTGGACCACCTGAGAAGCCCAAAGATTCTGATTAGATTGCTCTGACATGGGATCCAAGTATTGGAATCAAAAACTTTTAAAATATCCCTGCTGCTGCTGCTAAGTCACTTCAGTCATGTCTGACTCTGTGTGATCCCACAAACGGCAGCCCATCAGGCTCCCCTGTTCCTGGGATTCTCCAGGCAAGAACACTGGAGTGGGTTGCCATTTCCTTCTCCAATGTGTGAAAGTGAAAAGTGAAAGTGAAGTCGCTCAGTCGTGTCAGACTCTTAGCGACCCCATGGACCGCAGCCTACCAGGCTCCTCCATCCATGGGATTTTCCAGGCAAGAGTACTGGAGTGGGGTAAAATATCCCTAGGTAATTCTAATATACAACTACAGTGGTGAATCACTGATATGACCGAGTCTCTCACAGATAAGTCAGCCCAGATGTTATGATCTTTTTTGTGGTGAATAACAGCTACTAGTATCTTCAAAACTGTGTAAAGCACATCTGTCTACATGGTCTCATTTGATCCTAGAATAAACCTGAATATCCAAAGAGCTAAAAGCATTACTGTCCCGGCTTCAAACATGACAGAACTGAGGCTTAAGGCATATAAGTCATGTCCCCAAAGCCTCCTATTTGGTAAAAAGAAGCTAAGATCCATGTGCAGGTCTTTTGAACACTGATGTTAACTGTCCAAGTTACATGTTTATATTTTATTTTGGCCAATGGAGTCCTACTTGCTCTCATTTCTCCAGACACAGGACTGTGCCTACCATTCCCAGAACATTTAGAAATCTGCCTTCCTAAAGCAGACTGTGCTCTGTGCAGCACCTAGGATTCCTCAAGGTCACTGCGAGAGTACAGTGAGGAGGGGAAGACAGGCATGCAGGTGTGTGTATGTGTGTACATCCAATCCTGATGCCTTCAACTCAACCAGAGTTAGGTATATTTTCACCTGTTCAAGTATTAGGATTTCACATGCAATTTTGTTTAAATAGTTTTACCTTTGAAAATCAGTGATCCGGATCAGTCCACTGTTTACATCTACACTGGCATGGCCACTCTGCCCCCAAATTCCAGTCACTCCTTACATCAAGTTATTATCTGCTGGTCTAAATGAAGTCCAAAATAGTAGTTTCTCTTAATGCCAATATTGGTATTGTTTTCTGAGAAGTCAGACTTATTTTTAGCAGGCCAGACATCTGTCAGGGTAACTGAAGTTTCTCATTACCACTTCCTGCCCACCTCATCATCCCATAGAATCCACTCCCTTTCGCTGGGCCACAGCCTTTCTCCTGCCTGCTTACTACGTCTGCCTCCAGCCTAATCCACAGGTTTTCCACCTTGCTTCCACTCTTAGGCTTTCCTTCCCTGTGGAAAAGAGGCACTAATGATGGGAAGTGGGAGTGGAAATAGACATAGTCCTGCATTTCTTCATGTTTCCAGAGAGGAAGGAACTTTGATTCCCCTCATTACAGAGGTGAGAAGCCCCACAGTGGGCAGAAGACATCCAGCTTTTCATTCTGTGACCTTATTTGCACCTTTCCACAGGAGGAGAGACTAACCCGATTGGTCAGAATCCAGGATATTCAAAGGGCTGAGTTTCTATCAGCATTGGTGCCTGAGTGCATGAGGTGTGCTATATGTTCCTGAACTGTGTCCTGGTAGGCCAGGTTTTGTCCTCAAACTTGGCAGGAAGCTTACAGTGGGAGGGAGTAGGAAACCCCCACTGTTAATCTATTCTTAGTTCCAAGAATGACAGAGAACTCAGGGTTATGCCCTGGCATGACCTCCTATTTCAGCACTTACTTGAGGAGGCAATTATCAGTGAATCCTAGAGCCCATCTGACAAAAGCACCCTATTGCTCAGTAAAACCATAGTCCCTAAGGCTTAAGAAAGACGTTGTGGCCTTAAATAAACATGAGACATTTTCAGCTTCTTACTTTAATAGACTCATGTCTCTCACTTTACTAATTCTCAAAATATATGGTTCCTTTTTACATACATACACAAACACTTTTAAACATAAATATCAAATTCAAGAGAAGCAGATAGGTAGGTAAATTTAGGAAGCTAGGAGTACAGAAGAAAATGCCAGTCACCAGATTTTACAAATGAGCATCTGAATTCCTTCTCCGGACATTCAACTTGATATATTATCCTAAATATCCCATGTCACATGGTCCACAAGGTCTTCCTTTAAGATTCAGAAGCAATCAATACCCATACTTGTCATTAAGATGGGTCCTGCCATCTCCACTTTGGCCTATATCAGCATAAAAAGAAACAAAGAATAGATATTCACATTTCCAAGTCAGGAGGGAAAAGATATCCAGTCATCAATGGGCCAAAAAGTAAAACAAATATGACCTTTTGTATATAATTTCAAACTACACTCTTTTCACCACTACTCTAACATTTACTAGCAAATAAAAAGCAAGCATTTTAGTACCTACATTTCTATTAATTGCTAACATATTAGAAACCCAATCCACAGAAAAAGCAATTTGTGGTAAGTACATGGAGAAACAAGTATCTCATATATTGCCTTAAGTGAAAGTCACTGAGTCGTGTCCAACTGTTTGGAACCCCATGGACTATACAGTCCATGGAATTCTCCAGGCCAGAATACTTGAATGGGTAGCCTTTACCTTCTCCAAGGGATCTTCCCAACTCAGGGATCGAATCCAGGTCTCCCACATTGCAGGCGGATTCTTTACCAGCTAAGCCACAGGAAGTCCAAGAATACTGGAGTGGGTAGCCTATCCCTTCTCCAGAGGATCTTCCCAACCCAGGAATCGAACCCGGGTCTCCTTTATTGCAGGATTCTTTACCAACTAAGCTATCAGGGAAGCCCTATATTGTCTTAAGGGTGTATGTATGAACATAAACTAGTACAATCCCTACAGAATGCAGTTTATACTATCTTAAAAATGTTCATAGCCTCTGCTCCAATATGTTGACTTTTATGAATTTGTTTTCTACAAGTGCACATCTACACTTGCAAAATTATACTTATTAGAAGTTACTTATTGTAGACTTGTTTGTAATGGCACAAGACTGGAAAGACAGCAAATATATATTGAGAGAACTGGTTAAATATGTAAAGATATGTCCATACCATAAAAAAGAACTATGTTACCATAAAAAAAAGAAAAGAAATCTGTAAACAGCTATGGAAGGATTTCCATATACTATTAAGTGCAAAACAGTAAGGTATAGGATATACTTATATTTATGTAAAAAAAAAAAAAAGTGATGAAATTTTATTGCTTTCAAAGGCATTTTATATAATGCATATAAGTGATAAGAAACTGATATTTGGTTGTTTTTAAAGGAAAAAAACTGCGTAGCTAAAGCACAGCTAGAAAACTTTTTTTTTTTTGCGCCACTTTACAGAAAATTTAAAACATACGTAAAAGAGAAAAATATAATGAACCTCCATGTACCCAGAACTCAGCTTCAACAATTATCAGTATGTGGCATCCTGCTTTATCTATTGCCCCTCCTCTATCTTCCCTCATCCTCCACCACAGGATTATTTTAAGCAAGTCCCAGCTATCATTTCATCTGCAAAAACTTCTATATAATATTCCTGGAAGATAAGGACTTTCTCTAAAAAAAAAACTCAATATCACTCATACTTCCAAAAAAATTAACAATAATCCCCTAGTATCATCAAATATCTACCTATTCCTCCAGAAGGGAGACTTTTCTACTATATACTCTTGTAAAGTTTATACTTCAGTACATATTACCTATTTGAAACCTAAATAAATCTTACAGTAAAAGAAAAGTAAAAACCATCTACCTTCAGGTGGGACCCACACACAGTAATCTGGGTCATCTTCTGGATATTTGGAGGAAAGTATCAGTGGAACCTGCAAAGAAAAGATGTTATATTATTCAAGAGAATTTTAACTCTAAGAACCACTGTCCCTATCTTTGTTAGCAAACAAAAATTGAGAGAATAGTTTCCACTAATGATCTTGACATAAGTAACCAAAAATGGGGGATCACTCTCTCTCTGAATCTTGATTTTCTTTTCCCACAAAGCTTCAACAAGCTTATTTTCAGCCAGTGACAGCGGCGTTTTTTTTCAAAAGAGGCAGTCATTGCAGGTGTGAGTTCTAAATGGCATAACCCCAGAGAGGAAAATTTGACATCTGCCTCCTGATCCAGGTGCAAAAAAGTTAACAAAGCAACCTAACTGTTACCCTTTGAAGGGCCTGTGTGAAAGACTTGTTGGCTGGCATCTGGGAACTTGGATTTCAGGAGGGTTCCCACTACCCTAACCTGACAAAAGTGGCCCACTGAGCCAAAACTAGAAAAACAATGTGGTTTATGCTGAACACCTGCTTTCCTTCTAGGACAATGGAATTTGGGTAGATGCCAAGCAGGATTGCTATGTGATCAGTCCCCAGTACTAATCCCAGGGACTGAGTCTCTATTGAGCCTCTCTGGTTTCACAAGTTGTCACTTGTTGTGAAGGGAAGCAAGCACAGCCTATGTGGCTGCACTGGAAAAGGACCCTGAGAAGTTTGTACCTGGTTCCCAGACTACATTCCACGTGCCTTTTCTCTTTGCTGGTTGTGCTTAGTATCCATGTGAATGATGTAATACATCACAGTTCTAAGTTCCATCACATGCTGGGTCCTGTGAGGCCTCTTGTGAAATCACCCAGCCTGAGGGTGGACCTCCTGACACAACCTAGCAATTCCACTTCTGGGAACTTACATTATCCTAACACAATTATATATACATTAAGGTTATTCACTATAGCACTGTTATAATAAAAGACTAGAAAGAACCCAAGTGTCCATCAGTAGAGAACTGGTTCAACAGAGTACACCCACACAGTAGGAGGGCTTCCCTGATAGCACAGTTGGTAAAGAATCTACCCACAATGCAGGAGACCCTGGTTCAATTCCTGGGTCGGGAAGATCCCCTGGAGAAGGGATAGGCTACCCACTCCAGTGTTCTTGGGTTTCCCTTGTGGCTCAGCTGGTAAAGGATCCACCTGCAATGTGGGAGATCTGGGTTCGATCCCTGGGTTGGGAAGATCCCCTGGAGAAGGGAAATGCTTTCAACTCCAGTATTCTGGCCTGGAGAAGTCCATAGACAATCCATGGGGTCACAAAGAGTCGGATATGACTGAGCAACTTTTATTTCACTTCACTTCACATGGTAGGAAGCTCTCAGTGCACTGAATATATTAATACAAAGATTTCCGCCACAGGTTAAAAAAATAAAAATTCAAAAATAAAAATAAAAGAGCCCAGATTTCTAGAAGAGAGAGTAGCAGACATCTGGGAATTCTGCTAAGACAGCCCCTGAATTCACTCTTCTGGATATGGTTCATGACAAAGGGATTCATTTCTACTTTCAGAAGTGAAGATTATGACTAAAATACTTACTTTGCCTGGACCAGGAGCTTTCTTTTTCTTAAATTCATCTCTGCTTTTCTCAATCTCATTCTTTGATGCTAATTTATGAAAAAGAAAAAAAAAAAAGAGGCAATGGCTATTTCAGAAAAATAAAAAAGAAAAATTCCTCCTTAAACAGTATTATAATTATTGAAGAAAACATCACAATCTAATTCTCAAAATCTCTGACTACTGTAAAGACTATATAAAGAGAGAACGGTCCCTTCATTAATAACCTTAGTTTTCAAATCCTAAGCTTGAATTTAATCATACCTTTTGAAAAGGTAAAGGAAAATGGGGTGACTTTACTATTTACAATTTAATCATTATAGTTAAAGCAGTAAAAAAAAACAACAGTCCTTTTAATAGGCCAATCTTTCAACCAATTTAATAATGTTGGAATTACCCTCATGACAGGCACATGCTCAACTCTGGGAAAGGTAAAATTGTAGAGGGCTCTGCAGAGCCAGAGGAAAACGAAGGTATTAGGGTGCTTTGGAGGTTGTGGGGGGGCCTCCTGGGGGACCCGCAGGAGGCAGAGGAGGAAAAGAAGGACAAATGAGATGGCACCAAACAGACACCGCTCATATATTCCGACTCTGTCCCTGGCCCTGGCAGCAGCACTGACCCCCGGTCTGCGCCCCGCAGCTCAGCTCCCATCCCCTCTGACGCCGGCTGGCTGCCTGTGTGAGAAGCGGCAGAGGAGTCACTGCTCTACTTGCCTGAGGGCTCCTCACACGGCGCAGCTGCTTCACTCATCTCTTGGCAATCTTTATTCTGTTCCACTTGGCTGAGTTGAGACATGTTTTCTATAGAATGCAGAACCAAAGCATACTGTATTAACTTAATTTGCGGTGGAGACCCAAGAAAACAAAAGCAAGAAAAGCTAAGTACATATGTAATCATCCAGTTTTACTATCATTAGCTTCAATAAGTTTAATTAGGTTTTCAATAAACGTGCCTCCAGATGTCTAACAGAACCACCAATTTTCTACTTGAAAAACCGGCCATCTCTGAAGTAAAACTTTTTAACAATACTTACTGAAAGCCTGAAAAAAGGACATATTCCGTAACCAAAAATTCTACTTCAGGGAATATATTCAAAGAAAATAATCAAAGATGACAACCAAGGTTTATTACATACAAGCATGTTTATAATAGCAAAAATTAATAAAAATATACATGCATAATAAAATAGTTGATTAAATGAATTATGGCACATTCATGTGATAGACCACTTTGCCCTTTATTAAAACCACACTTAAAAGAATACTTTTTTTAAGACATAGGAAAAAATAGATTATAAAATAGCATGTATAATACGATCCCAATGTTGTTTTATAAATAAGTAAATGAAAAAATAAATGAATGAAAAAAAAATAAATGAATGACTGGAGTAACCCCTAATCAGCTCCATTTACTAATTAATGTATCTTATAAACCAAATTTTTAAATCAGCTATTTTTAGACACATACATATTTGCTTTGGGCCCTTAGAGAAACAATCAAACAAAAAAAACACAATACTTACTGATCCCCTAATATGCTGTTTATGTATCATCCTTATAATGAATGAATCAAAGACTAGATGCTAAAAAAGTATGTATAACTGCCTTTTTTGAAAAGGCCAAGCATTGTGCCAATAACAACAAAAAATTCCAAAACAAAAGATTTACTTCTCATAGATGAGGAAACAGTAACTTTTCTGTGCCTAAAACAGCTGAAAGTAACTTAAAAATACCGGCAGGCTTCATGTCTTTTCACATGGACATGCCTGGTTTGTTTTGGAAGTCCGTATGCACACATTTCCACACATGCTTACTGCCGATGTTTTTTGTTTTTCCTAATGTTCCCTATTTTCTCTGCAGTCTTAATCTTGCAAAGCAGTTCGACAAACCAGCAGGAAAATAACCCCTGCAGTTGACAAGGGTTAAGGGGCTACTAAAAAGATAATAATATCTAGGGCTGGCAGATTCCTCTTTTCTTCTTTGGACTTTAATGTATGATCCAAAGTTTCTAAAATGAACATATATTCCTTTTATAAGCAGAAGAAATTATACTTAATATTTAAAAACCAATCAATTTCCTTTTTTACATTTTTCATTAGCCCTTTGCTGAGGTAGGTGAAAACTACATGCCAGGTTCTCAGCCAGGTACTGTGGCAAAAAGATGAATGAGGTATGATGCTTCCTAAGAAGTACAAGCTGCAGATACAATCATGTTTAGCCTCTGTGGGGGAAAAATGACTAAGGGAAGGCTTTCCCTGAGACCACCTGGTCAGGCCCCGTCATCCACCCTGTTCCACCTGCCTCCAGTCACAGAGAGGCAGCAGCTCAGGACTGTTCCACAGCTGTTGAGGTTTCAGATTCCACAGCTTTCAACTTTCAGTAATTCTGGAACACACTGGAAATACTTGCCCTTACTGTGCAGTGAGAATAAATAATAACTGGCAATCAAAGAAAGACCAGGAAGGTATGTTTGAGTCAGTTGTATCACATTATCACAAAGTGTCACAAAGTCAAAGTGAATAAGCAAGAACTGGCTTTGCTTTTTCAAACCTATGCATGATGAATGCAAATGCCCACTGCACAGCATAGGAAGGAGAGAGAAGACATTACCATGGTTTTTTGTTTCTTTAGAACATGTGAAGTCTATGGGAGGACTCGTCTCCTGTGCTGCTTCTTCCGGCTCTGTCTCCTGCTGCAGCCTACTGCTCCCAGCCTCTGTTTTCTTTTCATGCTCCTCCTTTTCTTTCTCCTCTTCCTCCTCTTCTTCCTCCTCCTCTACTTCAGGCTCATCCTTCATTCTCATTAGAGTTGGAGGGAGTTCTGGACGCTTGGGGGGTAACTTCTATGCAGGGGTGGGGGGGGGAATCCATGAACAAGCAGCTTTACAGTATGACCAGGATCTAACTCATGTCTCCCACATTAGCAGGGGATCCTCTACCATCTGAGCCACCAGGGAAGGTCTCATAAAGTCATGGAAGGAATAAATGAAGGAAGAAAAACCATATGGCAGAACCAGGTGTATAGATTATGTTACTAACAAGTGTTAGCTGAGTCTGAATATTATAACCTCTATACACCAGGAAAAAACAACAACAACAAAAAACAAAACACCACAGGAGACCCTTTCTTAAATGCAACACTGATCACAAATTAATAAACTGGTATTCTAATTCATAAATTGGTTACATGCAAACTGGCATGAATCAATTCATCAATTCTTTTTTCTTTTCAGCTGAGCGGCATGTAGGATATTAGATCACAACCAGGGATCGAACCCACACCCCCTGCACTGGAAGCGCAGAGTCTTAACCACTGGACCACCAGGGAATTCCCGATTCATCAATTCTTGATAACTCTAGGCTGAAGAGAAAAATCCAAGAACCACATCCTGGAAAAGATGTGATTGTACGAAGTCCACAGCCTCTTTTCACATTACTGTGCAATGAGTCACTGAGTTTTGAAAAGAAAAGAGAAAAATTAGCTCAGGATAACTCAAGAGCTAAAAGTTTAAGACCTTGACCTACAACTTACCCCTACTGTTCCCGTTTTTAATTTGAATTTGCTTCCTCCTTTCATGGCACCAAAGAGAGGCAATGTGAGCTTTTTAGCTTTGTTTTCTCCATCTGTAGCCTGACTTTCAGTTCTAGGAAGAAAGAATAATTATACATATATATATCCCAGTGAAGCCAAGGTTTTATCTAAAAATACCATGAGAAAGAAACTTGGCAAATCAAAACTCCATAAAGTAAACACTTATGCATACACCAGTGAAAAGGGATTCAGGCCAGCAGAGTTTGAATGGACAACACAGACACAGAGCTATTAAGGGTCAGATGAGGCTACTACTGCAGTCCAGTAATTTACAAGGTGCTTAATTTACAACAGGCCATCTGACTTCACATCCATAAAACGATACGTACAGTATACAGGTACTGACAAAGGACACTGACCTGGGTACTGCCTGTATGTTGCTTATTCATAACATGACAGGACACATAGACACGACCCATTCCCACTAAGTGGCAGGAGATGGATCCATGGCGTAAAGCCCTACTTTCCACCAACCTCTGAAAAGGACTCAATACCTTACTTACCTGGAGGCCACACTTATCATAACCACACACAACAGCTCTGAGCACAGAAGTTTAAAAAAAAAAAAAGTATGTGTGTAGCAGGTGGGAGGCAGGATATCCTGACAAAGACTTAATGAGAGACCCCACAGCTGGTGAGCTGTCAATGTTATCACTGGCTGAATATAGTTTTAAAAGCTAAGCACCTGAGGGTAAAACTAAGGAAGAGCAAAAAGAGACTGTAAAAACTAGAAAAGATGCAAGGAAAAAAAGAACAAAGCAAAACAAAAAGGATAGCAGTTGAGTAGACAAGACACTCAGAGTAGGCAGAAATGACAAGGAAAAGATAGCATGAGGAGACAGAGGGAAGAAAGCCCTATGCTTTCTTTGCATGACGAGAGGACAACCCTGTATTCTGGAACATAAGGACAGCACTGGAGCTCTTGATTCACAGGGACTCATACAAGAAACTGATTACTCTGCTCGACTGAAGCCCCAGTTCCAATCCTGCCTTCTTTTACCTAGTCTTCCCCGCTCAGAGGTGCTCTCCCCCTTTCTCTACTGAGACAGACCCACTGCCTTGAGAAGGCCACCGGAGGAAATCCTGCCTGCCTGCCCTTAAAGATGCTTTGTCAAACATCCCTCACATCCCCTCCCCACAAGTGTCAGGAAGCACAGGAAAGCAAAGGCAAGAGCAACACAGATATTTCTCAGCTCCATTAAACAGCCTGGCTGGTCTGGAGGACACACAAAGACTCCCAAAGGAGATGAAAAAGTAGAAGATGGGATCACAATCAAGAGTTGCTTGTGGGTGGAGGAGGAACGGAATTAGCTAGGAAGTTTAGAAGTTCAACCCTCAAGTGAGAATACGAGGGAGAAGATACACAGCATCTGAAGGCCAGATGCTTTCTAAAGCAGTTTTTTCTTACTTTACTTTCTAAAGTAAGAAAGGGAGGAGAAACTCTGAAGACACACAGACAGCAGGAGGGGAGGTTCTGGAGGAAGCTGATGTGTGTCTTCTAGCTTGGACTACTTCGCAGAGCTGACTTAGCAGATTAAAGGATTACAGAATTGGAATTGAAACTCACTGTTAATTTGTTTGCTCTGGACTATGGCTCCTGAGTTTTTACCTTTGTTCCACAAAAACAATTCCACAAATAGTTGCTAAGTATATCAGTGACAGTAAAAATTATGACAAGATGACAATATACATGTGCCAGCACATTGTTAAGTGCTTTTCAGTTAATCTTTGAAACATCATTTCTTCTAATTTACAGAAGAGGAAAGTAAAGATCAAAAAAGTTATATAACTTGCCTTAAAATTCCCAAAAAGTATACTGTAAAGCAATTATCCTCCAAATAAAAAAGAGTTTAAAAAAAAGAACATTTATGTACAATTTATGACTGACTGTCAAGCTAACCTACTGATAGACTCCAAATCTACTTTATAAACAAAATGAAGCTTTATATAAAAAAAAAAAATTCCCAAAAAGTAACTGACAGAGTTGAGAATGAAACCTAGAAAGTCTAACTCTAGTGCTAATCTACCACCTATCAATAATGTAATTCAAATAACACTTGTGTCCAATAATTGCCCTGAAATTATTAAAGTTAACGATAAAATCAACTTCAGGGGATTATGCTTTTTCCCCTCTTTAAAGGGACAGATTCCATTTTTTAAAAGTATTTAAATATACTAAAGAGTTATCAATGTGTTCTTGAGAATGACAGATACAGGCATTAAAATGACAATCTACTCATATCTTTTCATCTCTGGTTTTAAAATCATAGATAAGAATGGTAATACATTGTAGTGTTTGTATTTTTCTTATTATAAGTATAGTAATTGTATTTCTCTTTTTATATAGTTAAGAGTTATTTGTATTTCTTTTTCAATGGACTTTCAGTGATACCTCTTGCCCATTTGTCTCTTTGGTGGATAGGTCCTTATATATTATGGAAATTAGCCTTTTGTGCATGTTGTTTTTTTAAAGAAATTTCAGTTCAGTTCAGTTCAGTTGCTCAGTCGTGTCCGACTCTGCGACCCCATGAACTGCAGCACACCAGGCCTCCCTGTCCATCACCAACTCCCGGAGTCTACCCAAACCCATGTCCATTGAGTCAGCGATGCCATCCAACCATCTCATCCTCTGTCGTCCCCTTCTCTTCCTGCCCTCAATCTTTCCCAGCATCAGGGTCTTTTCAAATGAGTCAGATCTTTGCATCAGGTGGCCAAAGTATTGGAGTTTCAGCTTCAGCATCAGTCCTTCCAATGAACACCCAGGACTGATCTCCTGCAGGATGGACTGGTTGGATCTCCTTGCAGTCCAAGGGACTCTCAAGAGTCTTCTCCAACACCACAGTTCAAAGGCATCAATTCTTCTGTGCTCAGCTTTCTTTACAGTCCAACTCTTACATCCATACATGACTACTGGAAAAACCATAGCCTTGACTAGATGGACCTTTGTTGGAAAAGTAATGTCTCTGCTTTTTAAAGAAGTTTACTCTGCACTAAAAGATTAAAAATTTAGAGCCCTCCGATGAAACAGAAATCAATACAGTTTTCTTTAAAAATCTTGTAGCAGTTTTTATTTCACAAATGAAATTTTTTTTTACCCATTTCAAAACCACTGCCTTTTGTGCTTTAAAGAGTTTCTTATATTCTATTTCTAGTCCAAAGTGATTAGCTAAGAAACAAAGATATAATTCAGAATGGTACCTATGTAAACATGCTTATTTAAACTTACAAGTATAACTAGGACTTACTTACTTTTTTAGTTCTGGAATCTCTGCTGGCTTTACAATCTTTATCAACCCTTTAAGTCTCTGCTGTTCTTTTCTCAGTTCAAAAGTTCTCAGGTGAAGTTTCTTCCGGGACACACCATCTAATGCACTCCCTGACTTCATTTCTGACATGAATGCATCTAAAGAGTCCTGAGACGGTGACTCTGACAGAGCTGTCCAAGAAAGGGATAATACGTGTTCAGAAAGATGGCTGAAAATATTTTAAAATTCGGCCCAAGTTTCCATAGAAAAGTCACTAACTTGAAGCTGGACAGAGGACGATACTGATACTAGGAATAAGGAAACTGGTTGTACCAGATCTTAGAATGTCACTGTACCTCAACGGGCTTCATTCTCCTCATCTATTAAATAAAAAGGTTGAAACAAATAATTTATAATGTTCTTTGTAGTTCTAAAATTATGTGTTGCTCCTTAGAAAGGCTCCATATCTGTTATATCTTACTAACCAATACAGCCTTAGTACCTAGCAAAGTGCACTACACACAGTAGACACTTAATATTTGTTTAAAGAGTCATTCCCTTACCTTTGCTGGAGGCTTTCAGTCTCTCAGAAATTTCAGAGAGTTCCTTTTCAGCATCATTTAACTTCGCAACCTATAACACCAAATTAACAGGGTTAGCATATGTTTTATATCTTTCAAAATATGGTAGCTTTCCTTTTTTCTTCCTCTTATTTTCATTATTGTGACCAGTTTTAAGAGGATTAAGTCAGAAGTGCACTTAAATCTGCTCCTCATGGAGTTAACATTATTTATTTAATTCTAATTGAATTTATTTCTGAATTAAAGAACCAAGAATTAAATATAAGGAATGTACAAAACACAGACTTTATTTTACTCAAAAGAACCCAAGGCATTTGTTTTCATTGATGAATCAAAAAGCTAGACATTGAGTAATGTTTTAAACTCTGAATACTAATTAATACAGTGAAAATGCAGGCCATCTTATGATAATTTCATGAAGGACACACTGTTTAAGACTATAGGCATAGCTTATTTTATGGAGCTTCACTTTACTTGCAACTTCCAGATATTGTAAATTAGAGATCTGTCACAACTCTGCATTGATAGAATGATGGTTAGCATTTTTTAGCAATAAAGTTTTTTTTTAATATATATATATTTTTAGAGATAGTACTACTGCACACTTAAGAGACTACAGTATAGTGTGAATATACCTTTTATATGCACCAGGAAAACAAAAAATTCATGTGACTCACTTTATTACAATATTCACTTTATTGCAGTGGTCTGGAATTGAACCCACAATGTCTTTGAGGTGTGTCTATATTACCAGAACTATACTCCTCAAAAATTCCTTTCACAATTCTTGACTACCAAAAGCCAAGGTCAATTGCACTTCAGAATGTCGCAATTTGGAACTTTTTCCTTTTCTTTTTCAAAAGATCATGTCCAAAGATATGGTAAGATCATATCCAAAGAATGTTCATTAATGGATCACTACCCACCTAGAGGTAGATGCAGCTTCTAGCAACAAGCCAAACTTTTTTCCAACTTGGATAAGACTAGATGGTTGTTTATTACCATCAAACTTACAGATCACAAAAATTATACTTCACTACCAGATTTCAATGCTACTGCTTTAAAAATTAAAAAACAAACATAAATAATACATTATTTATAATACTACGACAGCTACTTCTATAACTAAAACTTGCCAGCGATTCAAAGGTCTCTGGCTTCTCGTCAATCTTCCCAGCCTTCTTCATTCGATTCAGACGCTTCTTTTCAACCAGGCCAGTTCGATCAAGAAATGTGTCATCATCACTGTCATAAAAGTCTTCATCTTCCCAGTTCTTGGCTTTCCTTTTCCGAGACACTAGAGGTAGATAAAATAAACAATAAAATTAGAAAAATAAAATAAAAAGAAAGAAGGCAAGTAGGCAAGCAGCTTATAATACCACCACCGATTATTTAAAGAGAGGACTCAACAAGCTGCCAAAATACATATAAAAACAAAGGGCAGTATTCATGCTCAGAAAATCCCATGGACAGAGAAGCCTAGAGGGCTACAGTCCATGGGGGTCTCAAAAGATCCAACACGACTTAGAGACTAAATGAGAAAACCTTGGAGACATTATTAAAAACGAGATGAACCAGACACAAAAGGGCATGTATTGCATGATTCCACTTACACGAGGTACCTAAACTAGTCAAATTCATAAAGACAAAGTGGAACACTGGTTACCAGGTGCTGGAGGGAGGAAGAATGGGAAGTTACTATTTAATGGGCACAAGGTTTCAGTATGAGATGAAGAAAAAGTTCTGTGATGGATAGTAGTGATGGTTACACAACATGAATGCATTTAATGCCACTTAACTGTATACATAAAAATGCTTACAAAGGTAAATTTTAGGATATGTATGTTTTACCACAATAAAAAAGTTAAATCAAAGGAAGAGCTAAGGGAGGAGCCAAGATGGCGGAGGAATAGGACGGGGAGACCACTTTCTCCCCTACAAATTCATCCAAAGAACATTTGAACGCTGAGCAAATTTCACAAAACAACTTCTGATCGCTAGCAGAGGACATCAGGCACCCAGAAAAGCAGCCCATTGTCTTCGAAGGGAGGTAGGACAAAATATAAAAGATAAAAAGGGAGTCAAAAGAGCTACGGACGGAGACCCGTCCCAGGAAGGGAGTCTTAATAGAGGAAGTTTCCAATCACCAGGAAACCCTCGCACTGGCAGGACTGGGAGAAGTTTTCGGCAATCTAACTGGGAGGAAAAATTAAACAAGGCCCACAGATTACGTGCCTAAAAGCAAATCCCAGCAGAAAAGTACCCCAGACGCCCGCACCCGCCAGCAACAAGTGGGGGCCGAACGGAGAGGAGCGGGCAGCATTGCTTAGGGTAAGGACCGGCCCGAAGACCCTGAGAGCAATCGGAGGGAGCTTTTTTAAACTGTGGGATAGCAAGGGTCAAAATTAACCGGCCCGAACACACTGCCGGCGGTTCGCAAAACAAAGGGACTGAGAAACTCCAGAGAAGAGCCGGCCCATCCCCGCTGGAGGTAGGAGGCAGGGGGGAAGGGAAGAGGGCAAACTCAACCCCTGAGAAGCCACCCCCTCCCACACTGCAAACAGGCCCCCGGTTCCTATCTAAAGACTTCCTGAGACCCGACTGGCAGCGCGCGCTGGGGCCGCGGAGGGAAAAAGCGCGCCGTACCCGGGGAGATTGCGCCCAAGCCTCTGGCTGCCTGGGCCGCTCGACGTGGAGGGAAAAGGCGCGCTGCATCCGGGGAGAGTACGCCCAAGCCCCTGGCTGCCTGAACTGCTCAGGCCAGGAAAGGCACAAAACGCAGGCGCAACCGAATCCGCGCTTTTGTGGAGTACCCGAAAACTGGAACCGCACTCAACGCAGGGCCCGCTCCATATAGAGCAGCCAGGAGCCTGAGCAGTGTAGACGGGGAAAGCACTGACACCCGTGAGCGGGGCAAACCCAGTGTGGCCGGAACACGGTGAGTGCTATCCACACAGAGGGTATCTGTCTGCAGCGCCCCGCCCTCCCCGTAGCAGGACTGAACTGAACTAGCGAACCTAAATAAGAGATCACCTCTGCCCGCCTGTGTCAGGGCGGAAATTAGACACCGAAGAGACGCAAATAGAAGCCAAATAAACAAAGGGAACCACTTCAGAAAGGACTGGTGCAACAGATTAAAATCCCAGAAGGTAACACTGACTACACCGGAAGGGGCCTATAGATATTGAGAAGTGTAAGCTGGAAAGAGGAGCTATCTGAAATTGAACTGAACTACACTGACCACAACAACTCCAGAGAAATTCCTAGATATATATGTATATATTTTTTTTAATTAAAAAAAAATTTTTTTTTCTTTTCTTTTTTAATTTTTTCTTTTATTTTCTTTTAAAATACCCTATTACTCCCCCATTACTCCTCAACTTTCATTTTCATATATTTTTACGATTTTTTTTAATTAGGGGAAAAAAATTTTTTTTCTTTTTTCTTTTTCTTGTTTTTCTCTCCTATTTCCTTTTAAAGTCCTCTAATACTCCTCTATTATTCCTTAATTTTCATTTTCATTTCACTATAACCTTGCCAAAAAAAAAAAAAGAGAGAGAGAAACCCTATTTTTAAACCGAAATTCATATACATTTCTAAATTTTTTGTGTTTTTGTTTTTAAATATTGTATTTCAAAGAGTCTAACCTCTACACTAGATTTTTAATCTTTGTTTTTCAGTATGTGATATAAATTTTGGACATTTAAGAATCCAATATTCAGTTCCCATTTCTATTCAGGAGTGTGGTGATTATTCTCCCACTTTTGACTCTCTGTTTTCTACCTCAGAACACCTCTATTTCCTCCTTTCCCCTTCTCTTCCCAATCCAATTCTGTGAATCTTTGTGGGTGTCTGGGCTACGGAGAACACTTTGGGAACAGATAACTGCGTAGATCTGTCTCTCTCCTCTTGAGTCCCCTTTTTCTCCTCCTGCTCACCTCTATCTCCTTCCTCCCTCTCCTATTCTTCATGTAACTCTGTGAACCTCTCTGGTTGTCTCTCACAGTGGAGAATCTTTTCACCATTAACCTAGAAGTTTTACTATCAGTGCTGTATAGTTGGAGAAGTCTTGAGACTATTGGAAGAATAAAACTGAAATCCAGAGGCAGGAGACTTAAGCCCAAAACCTGAGAAAACCAGAAAACCCCTGACTACACGGAACATTAAGGAATAAGAGACCATCCAAAAGCCTCCATACCTACACCAAAACCAACCACCACCCAAGAGCCAATAAGCTCCAGTACAAGACATACCACGCAAATTCTTTAGCAACGCAGGAACATAGACCTGAGTGTCAACATACAGGCTGTCCAAAGTCACACCTAACACATAGACCCATCGCAAAACTCATTACTGGACACTCCATTGCACTCCAGAGAGAAGAAATCCAATTCCACGCACCAGAACACTGACACAAGCTTCCCTAACCAGGAAACCTTGACAAACCAATCGTCCAACCCCACCCACTGGGTGAAACCTCCACAATAAAAAGGAACCACAGACCACAAGAATACAGAAAGCCCACTCCAGACACAGCAATCTAAACAAGATGAAAAGGCAGAGAAATACCCAACAGGTAAAGGAACATAAAAAAAGCCCACCAAGTCAAACAAAAGAGGAGGAAATAGGGAATCTACCTGAAAAAGAATTTAGAATAATGATAACAAAAATGATCCAAAATCTTGAAAACAAAATGGAGTTACAAATAAATAGCCTGGAGACAAAGATTGAGAAGATGCAAGAAATGTTTAACAAGGACCTCGAAGAAATTTTAAAAAGTCAATTAAAAATTAATAATGAAATAAATGAGATCAAAAACACTCTGGAGGGAACCATGAGTAGAATAACAGACAGAAGATAGGATAAGTGAATTAGAAGATAAAATGGTGGAAATAAATGAAGCAGAGAGGAAAAAAGAAAAAAGAATCAAAAGAAATGAGGACAACCTCAGGGACCTCTGGGACAATGTGAAACGCCCCAACATTCGAATCACAGGAGTCCCAGAAGAAGAAGACAAAAAGAAAGGCCATGAGAAGTTACTCGAGGAGATAATAGCTGAAAACTTCCCTAAAATGGGGAAGGAAATAGCCACCCATGTCCAAGAAACCCAGAGAGTCCCAAACAGGATAAACCCAAGGCGAAACACCCCAAGACACATTTTAATCAAATTAACAAAGATCAAACACAAAGAACAAATATTAAAAGCAAGAGAGAAACAACAAATAACACACAAAGGGATTCCCATAAGGATAACAGCTGATCTATCAATAGAAACCCTTCAGGCCAGAAGGGAATGGCAGGACATACTTAAAGTAATGAAAGAGAATAACCTACAACCTAGATTACTGTACCCAGCAAGGATCTCATTCAGATATGAAGGAGAACTCAAAAGCTTTACAGGCAAGCAAAAGCTGAGAGAATTCAGCACCACCAAACCAGCTCTTCAACAAATACTAAAGGATCTTCTCTAGACAGGAAACACAGAAAGGTGGTATAAACGTGAACCCCAAACAACAAAATAAATGGCAACGGGACCATACCTATCAATAATTATCTTAAATGTAAATGGGTTGAATGCCCCAACCAAAAGACAAAGGCTGGCTGAATGGATACAAAAGCAAGACCCCTATATATGCTGTCTACAAGAGACCCACCTCAAAACAAGGGACATGTACAGACTAAAAGTGAAGGGCTGGAAAAAAATATTCCACGCAAACGGAGACCAAAAGAAAGCAGGAGTCGCAATACTCATATCAGATAAAATAGACTTTCAAATAAAGGCTGTGAAAAGAGACAAAGATGGACACTACATAATGATCAAAGGATCAATCCAAGAAGAAGATATAACAATTATAAATATATATGCACCCAACATAGGAGCACCGCAATATGTAAGGCAAGCGCTAACGAGTATGAAAGAGGAAATTAATAGTAACACAATAATAGTAGGAGACTTTAATACCCCACTCACAACTATGGATAGATCAACTAAACAGAAAATGAACAAGGAAACACAAACTTTAAAGGACAAAATGGACCAGCTAGACCTAATTGACATCTATAGGACGTTTCACCCCAAAACAATCAACTTCACCTTTTTCTCAAGTGCACACGGAACCTTCTCCAGAATAGATCACATCCTGGGCCATAAATCTAGTCTTGGTAAATTCAAAAAAACTGAAATCATTCCAGTCATCTTTTCTGACCACAGTGCAGTAAGATTAGATCTCAATTACAGGAAAAAAATTATTAAAAATTCAAACATATGGAGGCTAAACAACACACTTCTGAATAACC